ACAGAGTTCTCTAGCACCGTATAAGGCAGGCATTAAACATATATTTTAGAAAAACTTCTCCAAAACCAATTTTGATTTCACAGTGTTTGGCAATGGCTCCAATACTAATGGTAAGTCACTTGATTCCTGATATATGTTTGAATATGTGTGTATACATACCCGTGTTAATCTAAGTGCATAATGATGCGGCTAGTTATGGTAGCAAAAGCTTCTTTTCTTATCCTTACTAAGCACATGTTTTAACTCAAGTGTGATTTCCATAAAATTTTTAAAAGGTAATGTATTGATTTATCAAAGGGCTTTAAGTAAAATGTAAATCCTACTTATTCAGAAAATAATAACCATTCGAGGTAGTATTACATTTTGGATCTGGATAATAGTCATATCACAATTTTCTTTCTATTAGGAATTCATGAAAAGAGTCCTGTTTTCCATAGAAAGCCACAAAATGTGTAAGAAATATTGAGAAGTGAGTCTTATTTTACCAGAAATGAAAATAGCACTTGAAATGCTAAGATGGAGACAATTTTAAAATTACTCACATTTTACCCAACTTTCCTACTACTATCCCATGCAAAATTATGTCTACTGAGCACATTTTTATTAGATAAGGTAGTCCATGGAGCAATGCTGAGCTAAGAAACTAACAATACACAGTTATTCCAAGTTGTCATCATGTCTGGAAGTTATGGATAAATAGTTGGTGCAGGACACCTAACTTTCTGCCTTCTAAAGATTTTAACAGTAATATTTGGTCATGCAATCAAGCCTCCGTTAATCAAAGTTAAATGAAAATTAGTTTTTTATAAAAATCCCATTGTGTTTTCTGTAAGAAACATAACTGTGAATTTTCTAGAAATAGCCCTTGAAATCCAACCTGAATTATCTTACTTCTTTTTTCCTGCTTCCAAAATATGATCAAATTTAGAGCCTCCTTTTGTTAGCAATTTCTAGAGAATAGTTTTATTCCTCAGAACCCAAAGATTAAGTATATGTCTTCAGAACTGTATATTTCCCTATTTGGAAAATGTTTCCATTTCCATTATTTAAGTACTGATTCTTCAATTAGTGGCAAAATTAAAATAATTGAAGCGTTCTCAATAAACAAGTGGGGAAGTTTCCAACTGCCTTCCCAGAAACCTGGAAGAAATGCAACCACATGTAGAACCAGTAGAGGTAGCACCATTTTTACCAGTGATTAATGACGAGAGCTCTCTGCTCAAGAAGTGATGACCCCCCGGGAACTCTCAGCATTACACTTTCTCTTTCAGGGATGGAAGGAAGTGAGGAGCTTGCAACCCAGACAAAACGTGAGACTCAGCTAATTGGTGTGGTTTTGATGATGCCACAATTCTGCCCCAAATCCTTGTAACTAGCAAGTTTGCCCTGTAGATTATTGAATTACTCCACTGATCATGCATTATTTAAAGGGAAATGCTATTATTATAGAAGCCATCTGTTTAACCATTGGAATTCTGTCTGTTGGCCAACTTTCAAGATACAGTAGTGCACTGTGACTACACACGCGATAAGACAAGTCAAGGCCTACATTAAATGGCCAACTTTTATAAATGCCTGTTCACTCTAATGACCAAGTGGGTGTAGAGATACTTCATGATGCCAGTAGGACAGAACTCTGAGACTGTACCTAGCTGCAAAAGGAACTATCCCAGTCACCTGTCTTTTGTTTTAGCATCAATTGCAGGAGTGGGGAACCTTTTTTTCTGCCAAGGGCAGAAATATATGATGATATTTATAACATCATATGCGGGCCTTACAAAATTATCAACTTAAAAATGAGCCTACTATAATTGGTCAAACATTACATTTACTCACCCCTAATGCCATGGCAGGGCTAGACCAAATGATTTTGAGGGCCTCATATGGCCCCCAGGCTAGACCTTCCCCACCCTTGAAGTAAAGAAAAATATTTTGAGCATCTTGGGGAAGCTCAAATGATGAATAGAAAATAAATTTTCATCTTCTGAGTTAGAAAGTATTCTAACCTCTTTCCTGAAGACAACATAAATGGCTTCCAACCATATTGAACATTTGGCCTGGATGGGTTTTCTTCTGCATTTCTTTACTTATTACAGATTCTTTGGAATAGAAAGAACCATAGCACCATGTACTGTGTTCAAAACAGGAATATTATCCTTTCATCTCTCACAGGTGTTCATACCACCTTTACTTAACTACTTCCAGCAATGGGAAATTCATTACTTTTAAAAGAAGTTTGTCCCATTTTTAAAACTTTTGAGCCCAAATTGTTAGAAAAATTTTCTCTTATATTAAGCCAATATTTGTTTCCCGTTCACCTACCAAGGTCTGATTCCACCCACTGGAGCAGAATTGCATAGTGCCTAATGGGAAGTTTTTAAAGGAAAGAATATAACAATTCACTCTATCACATTTAAAAATTAGTCATAATGACCAGAGCTGCAATTTAGAGGTCATTAAAAATCCCTTTTTTTTTCCAAACTTGATACTGGAGCAAATTATGTTCCTGCCTTTCTAGTAAACCACACTGTATTGGGTTTCTAGTGTTAGCCCATAGCAATAAGTATCTTTATTTTGCTTCTGGAAAAAGAAGTAACGTGAGGCATTTGAAGATAAAGGGCAAAACTTGGACCCTCAACTGTGGCCTCTCAGTTGGCAAGAAATTATTTTTATTAAATATCTTGATATAGAACCAGAAACCAAGCCTATAGGACACTTCAAAGGACTAATTAAACTTTAAAAGGCAATAGATAACTACTGTTATATTCATATATCGCCCAATGAAGTACAATCAGTCCATTGTAGACACTATGAATAGACAAAGAAAAACATCTTTCTAGGATTGTGGTAGGATAACTGATAGCTGCATTTATAGCCAAATCCAAGCCTTTATACCACTATTTCAACATTTTTAAAAATATGGACATAAGGTACTTTCTTTACAAAACATTTTTTAAAGAGTCCTAAATTTCTCTTTCCCTAAATTCTTGATCTGTGGACTAAAAGAGCACAGCTATTTTATAGTCTGAGTCTTCTACACCAGCTGATCTTCCATGGCAAGTGGAAACCCTGCTGAGGCACCAGTGGGGGCCAGCTGCCTGGTTCCCCCAAACCCCTCAATCACAAGGAGCCCATAGGGTTTGCCTCCAGCTAAAGCAGCAAATCCCACCCAGAGAGACCACAAACTGAACCCTCACTGAGCTACTACCCTCTGCTGCCCCAAGAATGGTAATACACCTGCCCTCTGTGAAGAAGCATCAACAGGCTCCTGTGCTAAACACCAGGAAAACAATTTGTGTTCTCAGGGGATGCCACCAACAGTTGGCCCTTTGGGCCACAAGGCTGCCAGACTAAGCTGGTGGTGGGCTATTACCCTGGGAGTTCAAAATATACATTGTGGATTTTGACTTTCAAAACTCCATCCTAAAGAACAGTGTCATTATTGTGCAAATGCAGACTTTTTAAATGTAAAATATCTTACTGTCTCCTGTGTCAGGAGTTAAGATCGAATATATGTCAGACTGATTAATTGGATTCTTCTAGATCAATGGTTTACACATTTTCCACCATGAAATCTGAATGTCAGTGGAGAAAACCAGCCCTCCTTCCCCCCTCCCCCTCCTACTCCCCAAGGGAGTTAAGGGACAGGAGAGAAAGCTGAGACAGGGTCCCCCTGCCCTTGCCTGAATCAGGGCACTTTTACTTCTGTCTGTTTTATATATTGGTATATAAGCAAGATTCGTTTTAACAAGAGTTCTGCTACGACAAAAAGCTTACAAAGGATCCAGGTACAATTTAAGGTCCATGTAAGCTTGTTTTGTCCTTTCTTTTCATTCTAGAGCCAGGAAAAGTGTATTCAAATCAAAACAAAATGAAATCAGACTAAAACCTACTTGCCAAGTAAAGAGGTCTAATTGATTTGCAAATATCAAGAGAAATTTGACTCATCGTGTTCCCTATGGGCAATCCAGGTCACAGGAAAGGTGGACGTTTAGTTCATTCTGTCTCGGTCTAATAGTTATTCTATAAGAAGACAGAATTGATTGTTCTGATCTCTCTGGGGTGATAAGAGAGAGAGCCCTATCACATCGGTATTGTCATCAGTTCCAAGTTCCAAGGTTTCTGGATGCAGTCAACAGTAACACTGCTTCTTCACAAACCGTGTAAGTTCCTGGGAAGGGGTGCTCAGAGAAAGCAACCCAATATTTATTTAGGACCTACTATGTGTCTAGTGATACTCTAAGTACTTTCCATATATTATCTCATGTAATCCTCAAACAACCCTCACAAGAAAGATATCATTAATCCCACTTTACAAATGAGTAAACTGAGGCTCAGGAAGCTTCAATGACTTGTCCAGAGTTGTGCAACAGATCTTCCAGGCTCTGTGAGGCGCTTGGGGTTGGCAGAGAGAAGATCTGGGTTAAACTCTTGGTTCTACCATTTACTGCAGAATGAATGACCTATAGCAAGTCCTTCCCAACCCCGAGTTTCAGCCTCCACACCAAGAAAGTAGGAGTCTTTCCTAGATTTAAAATCTCACTGATGTTCATACAGTGGAAGCAACTAAGCAAAAGAGCAAATATTTGAGCCATCCTGCATATAAAAACGATGCAAATTTTCTAAAAAGGTAAAGGAAACTGAATGCATGGTCCTCTTTTATTAATATCCCTAGCAGCCTCTCAAGCCAATATATAAAGTAAGGGTAGGATTGGGCCATACAGTTTTTTGGCTGAGGGCTGCTGAGAACATCAGGAGAACTAACACAAAGTATGTTGTGAATGAGTGTAAACGAGTGTGATACAGGTTCCTGGAGACATACTAGAATCCAGAAGGATCTATAGGAACAGGAATTGTGGAGAAGCTTCAAAGAGAGGTTCACATACAAATGTGTGGGATGACTAGGCATGGGGAGAGGAGAGTCTTCAGAGTCTAGGTGGAACCATGAATTTGGAATATTCCACTCTAAAGCCAGGCCACTCTGCATTTCATTTGTACAGACAAGCCCACAGGTTATGGCTCCAACAGTCGGAGGGCAATTCAGACAGGCATTGTGGACGAGTGCTGCTTCCGAAGCTGTGATCTGAGGAGACTGGAGATGTACTGCGCCCCACTCAAGCCTGCCAAGTCAGCCCGCTCCGTCCGTGCCCAGCGCCACACTGATGTCCCCAAGGCTCAGAAGGTAAGCCAGCTGGAGTGGGATCCCGCCATCCTCAAGAGATCTGTGTCTTATATGTGTGGGTGGACCAAACAGTAATTTAGTCCCCATAGTCTCCTGTCTTACAGGTCAAAATAGCTCCATTCTCACCCTAGATGTCCATCCCTTTGGTCTCTCCGCATTGCAAATTCTCTTTTGCACTGCTCTGGACAATCAGATAACCAGCAGGTGGTGAAGAATGGTAATAGCTACCTCATCAGGTCGCTCTGAGAATTAACTTACTGCACATACAGTGCTTTCCATGTGTCTGCACAACACAGCTGTTGGGCAAATGTTAACATCTGTCATAATTGTAATTAAGAACAAAACCTGGAAACTTTCAGGTCCTGGTATTCTGCAAAGGTGTAAAAAAAAACACAACTCTAAAATGGGAACTATTTGAAATTCACATCCAATGGCAAACATAGTTAAAGAAAAACATTAAAAATAGAAATTTCTGTTTGGCTCAAAGAATACCTAGAAATTTCTAATGACCAAAATTTGCAGGTGTCTTTTTTAAAAGCTAGATTTTAAACAAACCTTAGAGGTACTATCTCTGCCATCAAGAGCATTTAAATCATCTGATGCATGTTTGTCACCTGATAAACTTTTGTTGAATGAATGAATGAATGAGTGAATGAGTAAACAAGTGAATATAAGTGATTAACATTTTAGTCATGAGGTAGAAAGAATGAGAACTAAAGAGAAGGTGAAGAATGAAGAAGAAAGAGAGGAAGGTTGAGTAAGGAAAGTGTTTCCATGGGGATTCTGTTGACAAAAGGAAAAATCAAACAAAACAAAAAAATACCACCTGTGGTTTTAATCTTTGGAGCCAAGACTAGCATAGTGCAGAATGCCCAAGATGAGAAATCAAGATGTTTACAATGACACCTTTGCTGCTTCCTGGTCGTAAACTGCAGCCGAGACTGGAGGAGGACCATGAGGGTTGAGCAAAGATGTGACTCCAGGGAGATACCTTGAGGGGTAGAAAGAGACGGGGCACAACCTGGTGTCCAGAGAACACAGCAGCCAATGGTCAGGGAGCAAGCACCACAGAAGTTACTTTTTGGTGAATGAGACTGGAAAGTTGTGCTGGGGATTGTGAAAGCAGGTTAATTCTCTTTCTTCCCAGGTGACCCAGTGCCTCTCAATTTCTAGTTGGTTAGAGGGTGGGGGTCCAAGATGAGCCCCAAAGTTCTGGAATGTTGGGTCTGGTGACTGAGGTGTAGACACCTGTGCAACACCAGTGCTGTCTCCCGCATCCCATGGAGCCCAGGCATTCTGGGCTAACTCTAAGGCTGTCTTCTGGGACACCAAGGGGACCACCTGTTCTCAATGCCATTATTTTTGTGATGTTTACAGTATCAGCCCCCAACTACCAACAAGAAAAAGAAGTCTCAGAGGAGAAGGAAAGGTGGGCCAAAGAAACACCCAGGAGGGAAACAGAAGGAGGGGACGGAAGCAAGTCAGCAGATGAAAGGAAAGAAGAAAGAGCAGAGGAGGGAGACTGGAGCTAGAAACTGAACACAGAAGCAAAAAGGAAAATGGAGGAGAAGAGCAGAGAGGGGCAAAGACGATGAGAGAGAAGCAGACAGCGATACAGAAAAGTGGGCAATGCTAGAGGAAATGAAGAACAGTAGCCTAGTGGAGCTAGCTAATACCCGTGATGGAAGGATTGAAGGAGTCTGTTATAGAATGTGGCTGTTAAACATGGAGAAAATGGAAATGAAGCACGTAATCCCCAGGAAAGCCCAAAGAAAGGCAGTGGCAAGAATGAAAAAAGAACAAATATTATAAAAGAGTCAAATTTCCTGCTCCCAAAAAACAATTAAATAAAACAATTAAGATTACAAAATCAAGGCTTTTGTATGCATTTAAAAATTTTGTGTGAATCTATAATAGAAGAATTGCTCATGTCAATATATGTCCAGAGTTAAATATTAGCCCCAAATTCTCCACAAGACTGAATTGTGTCATAGAAATTCCCAGATTTCCTTTCCTGCAATGAACTTAGAGGCTGCATGTCTTGGTTTGGGCCAAAGGGCATCCAGTATTTGCCTACAGGCCTGTGAGGCCTGTGAGGTAACCTATGAGAGAAGGTCATTGAACCTTTTTTTTTTTTCCACTTTGGAATCAGACATAAAAGATGTATTAGTTTGCTAGGGGTGCCATAACAAATACCACAGACTAGGTAGCTTAAGCAGCAGAAAGTTATTTTCATCTACTTCTGGAGCCTGGAAGTCTAAGATCAAGATGTTGGCTGGGTTGGTTCCCTTTGAGAAATATTAGAGAAGAATCTGTTCCAGGCCTTTCTCCATGGCTTGTAATTGCCCTTCTTCTCCCCGTGTCTTCACATCATCTTCCTTCTATGCATATCTTTGTGCCCAAATTTATCCCTCTTATAGAACAATGGTCATGTTGGAATAGGACCCACCATAATGACCTCATTTTAATTTAATTACCTGTATGTTGACTCCCCATCTCCAAATACAGTCACATTTTGAGGTACTGGAGGTTGGGATTTCAACATGTAAATTTTGGGGTAAGTGACACAATCCAGCCCATAACAGGAGACTTCTGATATATGACTACTGTCTTCTGACTCCTAGAATACTCTCTGTTGCTGTTTCTCTCTTACTTTCTCTCCCCCACACACACATAGACTCCTAGATTTTTAGATCTGAAATCTTAGGCATTTCAGCTCCATGGAAATTCTAGGACCATAGTATGAGCTGTAAAAGGCCTCAGAAATCATTTGGTTCAATCACTTCATTTTAAAGATAAGAATACTGAGATCCAGAAATGGGTAAAGATGTGCTTGGGTTCTAAGATGCCCTCCTTCTGGCCAGCAGAGAATAGCACATAATCAATATGGACTAATAAGAATTCCAAAAGAAAAAGATGGGGTAGAAGTGGCCCCATGAAGTCTCCTACTAATTTAATATATTCCCACCAGAAGGAATGGAGTAAATGAGAGCAGGGTTGATGGATTTCCCTGAGGGAAAAGAAAAGCTCTATAGAATCACAGAATGTAGGTCTTAGAGATCTTCTCCTCCACCTTCCTTGATTTAAACAGTAGGGTTAGGGTCTTCACAGTTAATAAAGCAAAAAGTCTCAAGATCATCCAAATTGTTGATTATAAGAGTTGAGAGAGATAAGTGGACAGCCAAGCAAATGATGACCCTTGGGAAAAGAAGATGACTAAACCAAGAACCAAGAAGCAAAGCATTTCATCAAGTAGCCTACTTTGATGATGTCATGGTATAAAGAAACCTCCTTTCTGGCTGGTCCTTCCATGCCTTCTACTTCAGGGCCATTCTTCCTTCATGGTTCACTGAAAATCCAGCCTGTATAATATATGAATATGCCCAAGGCTCAATCTAGGAGAAAACGGTCCAATCAGAAGCATAGCAAAGCCACAGATGGAAGCCAAGCCACTGCTGTGGTGGTTGCAAAGTGGATCCTGGGTTATTCGATCGATGAAAGCCAGCTAGTACCTGAAACCCATATGGCCAGCCACCTTATCCAGGAGATGCTGAGTACTCTTGCTAAGACATCATGCTCTAGGACCAGCCTCAGACATAGGCCTACTGTGACTACCATCTGAGAGTAGCCAGCAAACACAGATGGCTCTTCAAGGGACCACAGTTGAGCAGAAGAATTAACAGTTAATGTCCTATGAAAAGGTTCCTTAAAGAATTGTCTGTTCCTTCTTTCATTGATGAGTGAATAAATGTCAACTATAAATCAAGACTTTGGATAAAGTATAAGTACACCCAATGATGAACTTCATCCAAAAAGAAGACAAGGACATCAAAAGAAAAAAAAAGCAATAGAACTTTCTAGCTAAAGAATGTTTAAATCCTAGATTATGGATTAAAACCCACTTCTTTTTGTAATGGGTTTTTATCAACTCTAAAGCAATTATCTTGAATGGCTAGATGTGACTTCAGAATAATATGAACTAAGTAAATAGGAAGAATCTACTATTGTCTTTCCATCTCCCCCTTTCTAGAATCAATACTAAGCACCTAGTGATACATGGTATATAATGTTGTGTAGATAGATGGATGAATGGATGAATGAATGATGGGTGGATTGGATGGGTGTTCTAGGTAGATGAATAGAGGTAGAAAGGCAGCTATAAAAATACATAGCACTGCTGAGATGACATGATTCCTCTCGTTCTTGCACAGGGGGTGAGGCAAGTTCAGAGTAAAGAAAGAAAGAACAAAGGAGTTGTGCTTACATAAGTGTTGCAGGTTTACAATTTCCTTCTCTAGCCTCAACTGAAATCATTCAAGGGCCTATTGCCAAAAGTACAATTGCCAAAGGTGGCATCTGCCACCTTTAAAATCAAATGTACTTTATAGCAAATGTTATGTAACTATTAGTCCCCTCAATACTTTCCTGAAGTAGGCAGAGTAGTAGACATCATTTAAAATTCTACTATTTCAACTGCTTCTCTTAGGGAAAATTGATGATTATGTGTAAAACTTATGGGATATGTAAAGATTAAATAAAATTAAAAATTTAATTTAAAATTAAAAATTAAAATAAAATTGCTGAAAAAAATTTTTTATTGAGCACCTACCATGTGCAAACCTCTGAACTAGGTATGAAGGAGAATTATAAAGATTGTAGAAGCAGTAAAACATAGTGGGTTAAGAGTAGAGAATGTGGAATCAGACTGCCTAACTTCAAATGCTGATTAGCTTACTAGTGGTATGACCTTGGGCAAATGATGTAACTTATTTGTGCTTCAGTTTCCTTATCTGTCAGTCGGAATCTACTTGATTGAATTTATCTAGTTGAATTCATCTAATTGAATCTACAGTTGTGAGGATTTGAGATTGTGTGTGTGTGTGTGTGTGTGTGTGTGTGTGTGTGTGTGTGTGTACAAATATATATGATAGTGAACAAGTTGGTGCCCAGTACGTAGTAAGCACTATTAAAGTTTTTGTTAATATTATTTTACTTCATTCTAAAAAATAGAGCCATCTGAAAAAGAAATAGATCTCCTCAAATGGAAGTAGGTCTCATATTCCCCAGACTTCAAGCTTCAGCTGCCAACACTCTTCAGTGATATGGTAGTTGGTTTCAAGCACATGGTGGGAAAAGAGAACGGAGTGACCTAAGACCCCTTCCAACCAAAGAACCCAGTTCTACAAATAATTACAACTTAAAAAGAATCCCGGCCAACCCATGTGAGAATCGCTTAACTTTTATTTTTAGGTCATAGAATGAACTTTCAGAAAACCACCATTTTTCTCAACCAGTTAAAATCAAATGCAATATGTGTTTTCATTTCATGGTGACTGAGGAAAATTTAATTGTAGCATGAACTCCAACTCTTACTAGTTTTAAGTCAAATTGCCAAAATAAATAGAAATGTGGGATATTTTCAGGCTCGCACCGCTTCCGGGACATTTCAGTTTCTAGGGTTGCCGATTCAGTGCCTTTCACAAGTATTTGATCTTCTCTCAAACATCTCTTGAAAACAAACAAAACCTCATACAGCTTCTAATGTGAGTGCTGTTAGGATGTAAGAGTGGAGAGGGAGGCAGAGAAATGAGCTCCGGAGAGCCTTTCCCCTTCTCTCCCCCAATCTCCTGTCCACCTCCCTCCCACCAACCACCAATAGGAAACAGTGTTTTCTTAAGTAATACATTTTGCAGTTTCTCAAGTTCATTAGCATACATGGGGTAGATGAGATTTATTCTCTTTACTTGTCTATAAGAAGGGAATAGGACTTTTTGCAATATTTAATAGATAATAGGGAGCTGACTTCCTTTTTAATTTTCATTGAATTTAGTGGGGTGACATTGGTTAATAAGATTATATGGGTTTCAGGGGTACAATTCTATAATACATCATCTGTATGTTGTGTTGTGTGTTCACCACCCAAGTCAATTTTCTTCCATCACCATTTATTTCTCCTTTACCCTCTTCTACCTCCCTTACCCCCCTTTCCCTCTGGTAATCCCCATGCTGTTGTCTGTGTCTATGGGAGTTGACTTCTAATCTAAGGGCAAAGTTAATAGTCTGAAGTTCAAGGGGAAGGCTTTGGTGGAAATTGTTTTTAGATGAAGCAGGATGTCCTTTATGAAGTTTTGAATATTCACTACAGAATTCCTCAGCTTGTATGCTCACCGGCTACTGATTCCTTTGAAAATCAGTGACAATATTTATTGACCTGTAAAATCAGAAATACACATGGATTGGGCATACACATGGATTGTTCTTGCGCCATTTTCTGTCTTGGAAAAGCACTGGCTGGCAGCAGGTGTGTTTACTTTTCTATGCTGAAGGCTCCCATCAACCTCAAACAGATGCAAATCACTTCCACTTGTCAGAGTGCTATTTTGTTCATCCTCAGAGTTCAGGGGAGCCTTCCAAACTTCCAAAATTTCT